AGGAGAAGCCTCCCCCTTAAAAGACCCCAGCTCACAACCTGGGGCAGACATTTTCCCTGCCCAGGAGGGTATCTGTCCCATGTATTCCTTTGCTAATAAACTCTATTCTGATGGAGTTGTATCTATGTCCTGGTGCTTTCTCCTGATCAACCAGATTCATCCATAGGCTACTTTTTAACCTATCATGTCCCAGCACTTAGGAAGCAGAGGCAGGTAGATCTTTGTGAGTTTGAGGCCAGCCCTGTTCTACACAGTGAGTCTTAAGTCAGCTAGGGCTACACAGTGAGACCCTGTCTCAAAAAAAAAAAAAAACAACAACAAAATAAGCCTAGCATGGCAGCTGAGTATGGTGGCACAAAGCTATAATCCCAGCACACAGGAAGCACAGGCAGGAAGACTAGGAGTTCGCAATCAGACTTGCCTACGTGGTGAGTTCAAGACCAGCCTGGGCTACATGAGACTCTGTCTCAAAACAAACAAAACCACCAAGTGGGGCAAGGACTCTGGCAGAGCAAGGGGAGCCTGTCTGTGGGGGACGAGGGTGCCAGCTCCCGGTGGAAGGCACAGAGCCGTTTCTCATTAAGAAGAAAGGTCCCTCCCACCTAGCAAGTCTTATGGGAACATTCTGGAGAAACCCTTGCACAGGAGCCAAGGAGACATGTACAGGAACGCTCTTGTAGGAATGTGGGCTGGTGCCAGAGAGTGGAGCTGAGCTCAACACCCATCAACAGGTGTGCCAGTAAGTGGATCACCATTCATTTGTGATGGAATGCTATACAGCAATTAAGAAGATGGCCGCAAGCCACATGCATCATCCTGGGTAAATCTCAATGGCAGGACAGGATGAGGAAAGTGCAGAAAGACCTGGGCCGAGGCTACCTGGAACACACAAGAGGCCAAAAATGCCCTGTGGGTTCCTGGCTCCCCTTCTGAAAAGCAAGTGCTTCAAAAGAGGGCCCTGAATGACAACACCAATTTCTGTGTGTGTACGTGTGTGTGCGTGTGTATCTCTGTGTGTCTGTGTGTCTGGTATGCTACATACATATATGCATGTGTTCACATGCATGTGGGCTCAGTGAATGTGTATTGCATGCATGTAGAGGCCAGAGGTTGATATAAGGTGTCTTTTTCTATTCCCCTCCTCTTTATTTATTGAGGCGGGGTCTCTCTGAGCCTGAAATTTCAGCTAATCTACCTAGACAGCTTGTCCCAGGGACACACCTGGCTTTTTTATATAGAAACTGAGGTTCCAATCTCTAGTCTTTATGTTTGCATGGAAAGCGTTTTACCCATTGATCCAACCCTCGATACCCCCCAATTTATTTACTTATTTATTTTAGCATGGTCAGGCACCCAGAATCCTCTAGTTTTAGCCTCCTAAGTGCCAGGATTACTGACGTGTGCCACCATGCTTGGCTTTGACATATGTTTGCCGTTTGTCTGTTTTTGTGGTACTGGGAGCTGAATCCAGAGCCTCATCCATGCCAGGCAAGCACTCGACCACTCAGCTACATCCCCAGCCCTGAAAAGGTGTAGAGAATGTTCTAGAAGAGCAGAGGATAAAGCCAGAGAGGGGCATCCAGCTGTGAAACAGAAGACCACCTTACTGTCCTCCTGCCACCAAACTGAGCAGTGAGGTGACCTCCAAACACTTGTCCTCGAGTCCCTGTGGCTGGAGATGGGAGCTTCCCAGAGGTCCACCTAGAGTGAGGGCTACTAATGCTAAGTTCTCCCCCATTGAGTACCGCCCCCCACCTCAAATGAGAGAAAGAGCTGAAGAAGGAAACACACCTCATTGTATCGGGGGAGCTGAGCTGACCTGGGGCACTACCCACACTAGTACATCAGCAGCCTGGGCCTCCCAGGGCCTTGCCAAGTCTGCAAAGAATTCCCTGAACAAGCTGAGGCTTGGGGTGGCTGAAGAAGGTGGATGGAGCCTAAATCACAATCCAGGAGCCAACAGGTGCTGAAAGAGGCTCCACCGGCTTTTGCCGACCCAGCCTAGGCAACTCTGGGGTCAGCAGACATGTGGGGGGACTGGACAGTGAGCTGTGGGTAAGAGGGGAGTCTCCAGCAATGGCTGGGCTTATCCCAAGATAGCAAGGCAGTACATTTGGGGAATCACAGAATAAAATCTGATGATGACCAGCCAACTTCTAACTGTGGGCCAGGGCTCCTCCACCCCTGCTAGGTCGTCCCTTTCAGGGCCAAGGTGCTGCTGAAAAGAGCCTCGAGGCAGCCCTTTAGGGCTTCATCCCCGAAGCTGAAGAGGCTGGACTCCAGTCTCTTGTCTCAAAGTTCTAAAGCTCCAACTTGCACCTGCTAGCCGGAGGCTGTAGAGACTGGATCCTGTCCCAGACCACATCCCCTCCCTCAGGCCTCCACAGGACCACAAGGAGCCCAGTGGGGCCTCTGCACTTCACCAAGACCAGAAAGTCCCCAGGATGTGATGGATGGAATCTGGATCCCTCTCTCCCACCTCACTTGTGCTGGCTGAGCCCATCCAGGCCAAGAGGACCTGCAGCTCTCCCCCACTCTCCAAGAATCCTGGGGTGGGCCCTGCACACAGGCCTTGGGAAATGGCAGAGGAAGGGATGGGAGGCGTGGCAGGAAGGCGAAAAGTCAAAGGAGCGTTTGTTCTACTAAGTGGCTTTTTGTTATCAAAAATTGGCCCCAAACTCTGTCCACTGGAAGCCAGGACAAATCACAAATCGTCCCCTGCCACGCCCACCTTCGTCAGCATGCTACTCCGCAGGGCTGACTGCACACACCTCAGGTCACACCACCTTCCCTCTCAGTTCCGGTGCCCTCCCTCCCCGCCCTGGCAAAGGCCAGAGGTCCCAGGGGACCACCCCCTTCTCTCTTAAGAGCTAGGAGTGCAAGTAAAACTCAGAACAGAAAAACCAGACTGATATCCCGATACCCTGTCCTGATGGGGCTGACATCCTAGTGAAAGACACAAATGATAAACAAGATTAAGTAACCGGGTTGGAGAGATGGCTCAGGGGTCAAGACCACTGGCTGCTCTCACAGAGAAGCTGGGTTCGGTTCCCAATACCAACATGGCAGCTGACAGTCATCCATAACTCCAGGTACAGGGGACCTGATGCCCTTTTCTGGCCTCTGTGGACACTGTACACATATGATGCACATATACACTTGCAGGCAAAATACTCATACACATAAAATAAAGATAAAAATCTTGCCAGGTGTGGTGGCACACGCCTTTAATCCCAGCACTTGGGAGGCAGAGGCAAAAGGATCTCTGTGAGTTCAAGGCCAGCCTGGTCTACATAGCAAGTTCCAGGCCAGCTGGGGCTACAGGGAGACTCTGTCCCAAAAAAGAACCCCCCCCCAAAAAAAATCTTAAGAAAAAAGAAACTAGGGGCAGGTGGGATGTCTCAGCAGGTAAAACAGCTTATTTAATCCCCAGATAGGCAGGTGAGAATTGATTCCCCAAAAGTTGCTGTCTGACCTCCACAAAAGATGAAGTCAACTAGGGCTGAGGATGTTATTCCAGTTGGTAGAGGACTCATTGACCAGGCATGAGCCCTGGGTTTGATTCCCAACACTGCATAAACTGGGTGCAGTAGCATCCATCTGTAATCTCAACTCTTGGGACTTAGAGGCAGGAGAATTATAAATCCAAGGTCATCCTTGGCTACATAGTGAGTTTGAACTCACCGGGCTATCAGTAAGACCCTGACTCAGCATGAGAGACAGAGAGACTGTAACAGAGAGAGCCCAGCAAGTAAACTACACACACAACCTGTCAGACTCAAGCTGTGCAGAAAACTAAACAGGGAGGGGGCTGGGGCCAGGCAGCAATTCCACGCTGAGTCACGAGTCATGGAAGGCCACACCAAAGCCAGGAACACTGGCAACGAGGACAAATCGTTTGGAATGTGAGGTGACACATGCCAGGCAGAGGGGGCAGCAGGTGCAGAGGGAAGGGACTAGTAACCTTGGGGGAACAGAAGGCCAATGTGACTAGAGGGAAGAGAGAGAAAGGCCCAATATAGAGGTGGGGTGAGAGAGGCCCCACCCTGGGCCAGATGTGGGGGCAGGAGGAGCCTGATGGTGGTGACAAGTGTTCAGGACTAGAGGCCATTCCCACACAACTGTCTAGGAAGGCCTCAACCTATGACCTCCTCTTAGACAAAGCCCCCACTCAGAGGCCCATGACAGAAGCAGGAGGAGAGATGATATGGGACCCTCAGCAGCCCAGGAGCCCCCACCACCTCCCACTACATCCTGACAGCAGCCAGCCAGCCAAAGAATGCAGCAGGCCTTTCTCAGCCCCGCCCCTCCCGGCGTCTGGCTTGAGCAAGCACACAGCAGACCTGGTGGCAACAGGCTGGCGTGTTCCTGCCTGCTCCCACCACACCCAGGATCCATCTATCTAGTGTCTATCGGCCTCAGCTCTCATAGCTAACCCCCTGCTTGGCCCAAGAACACCCAGGCTATTCCTTCATCCCACCCTGCCTGCTGCCAGAGCTAAAGGGCCCGCTACCATGGAGGGCAGGAGCCCCAGGGGGGAGGCGTTGGACCAGGTCACAGGCACTTCCATGCCTGCACTCTGAAGTCACCTCCAGTAAAAGCTACCCATGCAGTGGGGGGTGGGGGGACAAATAGATAACCAGAGTCAAAGGTCCAATTCCTTCACCCCACCCATAGGGAAACTGAGGCACAGGGAAGTATCTTTTACCCCCTGTCCCCAAGGCCTCCTGAGGCCTGGGCAATTCTCATTCCCTCAGAAAATGCTCAGTCACACAATGAAAGCCCTGTGACTGGCAGGGAATTCAAGGGAGAATGGGCCCCTGGCCAGAAGTGGTGGGGGGGTCTTGGAAGGGAAGGGAGAAGGGTGCCCAAGCCAAGATGATACAGTCTACACAGGCTGCAGAAGGCAGTCTGATCTGGCTTCAGGCTCAGTGGTTCAGACCCAGGTTTAGGACTCCGCAGTCCAGGAGGGGCCTTGGCGGGTAGAGTGGGGTGCTTACCTCGGAACTTCTTGGGGGGATTGTCCAAGCCCCCGGCTGCAGGCTCTACCACACAGCGGTCATCCACCAGCCTGGAGGACAAAGCAGCTCTGTCAGAGGAAGGGCAGGCTTATCTCCTCGGGGTGCCCTCCCTCGAAGGCACCGGGGGGGTCTCCCTGAAACTTCACCATCACTGACGACCCCACCACCACCACATCATCTCGTTCCTATTACTGCTATTAAAAGGGGCTGGAGAGTCGGCTTAGCCATTTAAGCACTGGTTGCTCCTGCAGAGGACTGGGGTTCGATTCCCAACACTCACATGGTGGCTAATAACTGTCCGTTAACTCCAGTTCCAGGGGAATCTAATGCCCTCTTCTGACCTCCGAAGGCACTGCACAATTCCGCTGCACTTAGACACACACAGGCAATACACTCATATACACAAAAATAAAAATAAATAATAAATGGCGAGCTCTCTGAAGCTTCCTGTCGGGGGTAGAAGGGTGAGCTGCTCCTGTCTGGGCCATCATACACTGCAAAGGTAACTCCCGGGACCCTGTTGCCTGGACAGAAAGGACAGGAAGAGTAAAGAGATGGGAGACACAGAGACAGAGGATGGAGAATTAGAGCAAGGGAGGGAAGGCAGGGGGCAAACAGTCAAAGGCAGAAAGGACGATTAGTCCAAGCGATGAGAGAGGCAGGCAGGCAGGCGAGGATGCAGAACCTTGTGTCTCCCAGGCTCAGCCAGGACCCATCCTACAGTTCCCACTTTGACCTATCCTAAGGCCTGAAATTCTTTCTTCTGGTCATGGCTAGGGATCAGTCCTGCATCTCTGGAGGGCACTCTTCCATCCATCCATGTATCCATCTGCTTGCCATATCCATCCATGTACCAATCCATCTATACACCCATCCACACACTCATTCACTCATACACCCACCCCCCACCCATCCCTCCCTCCCTCCCTCCCTGTACCCTCCCATCTACCCATCCCCATCCACATCCATCCATGTGCCAATCCATCTATACACCCATCCACACACTCATACGCTCATACTCCCTCCCTCCCTGTACCCTCCCATCTACCCATCCCCATCCACATCCATCCATGTGCCAATCCATCTATACACCCATCCACACACTCATACGCTCATACTCCCTCCCTCCCTGTACCCTCCCATCTACCCATCCCCATCCACATCCATCCATGTGCCAATCCATCTATACACCCATCCACACACTCATACGCTCATACTCCCTCCCTCCCTGTACCCTCCCATCTACCCATCCCCATCCACATCCATCCATGTGCCCATCTACTCACCCACCCTTTTATGTACTAATCCATCTGTCTACCCATCCCTCCATCTGATTATCTATGCTTAAACTTCTCCATCCTAGTCTCCAAGTTAAAGAGCTGACGATCGCACATGTTGCTAAGGCCAGCTCTATCTTACCACTTTACACCCACTGCTTCTGAGGTCTCACCTACTGGCCAGCATTGGTGCCATTTGCCAAGTCGGAAACTGTGCCTGAACTAACTCTCCAGAAGTCCCAGAGCCGGCATCGAAGCCCACCCACGATCTGCACCTCCCCCCACCTTGCGCTGGCTGACAAGGTCTTGTGATCTGACCTCCAACAATTCTTTCAGGGGCTTCAGCTTCTTTGCAAAGCCTCCAGTTGATCCCACCACCTCTGGGAAATCTCATCACTCTAGAAGTGGTCCTGGCAGTGAGATGCCTTCAGACCGCTGTCACTGTACCCCAAGGCCCAAGCTTGGCAGATCTGGTTCTCCCACCCTTGCCCCTCTCTATCCAGTAAAGGCTTCCGGGCCCCGCCCTCATGGGCATCTCTCCCATTCCCACGGCACCTGGCCCCAGCTCTCTCTCCTGCCCTGTCTCCACGACGAGTCCCTGCAGCTGGCAGCCCAGTGCACGGTGCCGTCCTATGATCTTAATGATATGAAAAATAGATGCATAAGCTCCATTCCAGCTCCTGGCTGGCGCTCCCAAACCCTTGTGCCCTTCCTGAGCGAGGAGACTGATCAGATCTTTTGTGAGCATGTTTAGATTTCTGGCCCCGGTTTCTACAACAGTCCCAGAACCATAAAGGTGAAACGGCATGAAGCCCATTCCTTTCACTTGAATTTATATTAACGAGGTGGCTTTTGGAAAGCCCCTAAGGATGAGCATAGGGAGAACTGGTTGCCAAGGCAACCAATCTTGTGATGAGATAGAAACAGGAGCCCCACCTTTCCTCAGTCCCTGGCAGGTGGGGAGCCTGGAAGTTGATGGAGGTTGGCTTCATCATTGGTGGCCAATGATGTTATCAATGATGTCCAGTGTGGCTCCAACTCAAAAGGACCCAGTTCACGGAGTGTCACAGTTAGTGACCATACAGAGGTCGCAGAAAGCTGGTGTGGTCCAAGAGGGCACTGAAGCTCTTCATCCCACACCCAACTTCACCTTGCACATCTCTCCCAGCTGGCTGATTTTGGATGGCACAGCACACTTTTAAAAATTATAGTTATCTATTTGCTTGGAGGTGTGTGGGGGAATGCCACAGTACACTGCAGAGGCCAGAGGAGAACGCTGTGGAGTTGGTTCTCTCCTTCCACCATGTGGGTCCTGGGGCTGGAACTCAGGTCGTCAGGCTGGGCGACAAGCGTCACTACTCTCTGAGCCATCTTGCCGGCCCTGCATCCTTTTCGTTTTTACATTTATTCACTGTGTGTTTGTGTGTGTGTGTGTGTGTGTGTGTGTGTGTGTGTGTGTGTGCAAGCACTCTCTCACTGTGCACATATGGAGGTCAGAGGACAACATTCGGGGTTCTCACCTTCATAGTGCTTGGCTTGTGAACATGCCTACTGACTGAGCTAATCTCCCTAAACCGTGAAACTAGTAATTTATTAAGTATACAGGGGTTGGTTTGGTTTTGAGATGGTCTCACTATGTAGCCCTGGCTGTCTTCAATCTCACAGCAATTTGCCTGCCTCTGCCCATGCTCCACTTGTTTATTATTATTATTATTATTAATTACTTTATTTATTGTGTGTGTACACCTACATATGCCACAGTGCACATCAGAGGACAACTTGGGAATCAGGTCTCTCCCTCTGCCATGTGGGTCCCAAGGATGACATTCAGGTCGGCAGGCTTAGAGGACAAACACTTTACCCACTAAGCCATCTTGTCAGCCCCACTAAACAGTTTTGTTGAGTTCTGTGAGCCATTGTAACGAGCTACCGAATACAAATGTGTATTACAGGGTCCCCTGACTCATAGATGGCCAATCAGAAAAGGCAAGGGCCCCAGACTTGGGACTGGCCTCTGGCAGGGGGGAAAGAGCCCTCAACTTGTGCTATTCGGCACTAACTACACAGTGTGAGAGCTCAACTGAACTGTAGGCCGCTCTGCTGGCACCCTGGAGAACTGGAGAGCTGCCTGATGTTTGCATACACTATTTAATTTTCTAAAACTACTTTGCTATTATTTCCATGTTGCAGGCAAGGAGCCAGAACTTGGAGAGGTTAACGACTGGAGAGCTGGGCTTTGAAAGCAGGCTATGCGGTGCCAGCAGGTGCTTCCCAGGACCTCACTGGGACAGGCGGGGAGGGGGCTGCAGCCTCCTCTACCTCCCAGCCTTCAGTGCTCCTCCCCCATCTGCACTCACATTACAGGTCATTCTGGCCACGATGCCCTCAGTACTTAGTACCTAGTCCCTAGCACCTCCCATAGTCCAGTCCTGGAACCTTCTTCCCTAAACTCTACCTCAACAGCTCGCCTCAGAAGTCAAAGGCATTGAAACACTGCATCCTGGTGTTCCACCTGAACAAGCTGCTCCTAAAGTTATCCCCACCTCTGTCCATGACAACTCCACCCTTCCAAGTGCTTTGGCCAAAAGCTCAGACCAATCCTCAGCCACTCTCTTCCACCATCCACAGCCACAGAGCAAGTTCAAGGCTAGCCCGTGTTATATGAGGAGACCCTGTCTCAAAAAGGCTGGTGGGGTTGGCACTGGGGCTCAGCTGGTAGAGTGCTTACCCAGCATGCCTGTGTTGAATTCCCAGCACTGAACAAAACTGGGTATGGTGGTGTGTATCTATAATCCCAGCATTCCAAGGGTGAAGGCAGGAGAAACAGACTCAAGGTGAGGTCAGGCTGGACTACAGACAACAACCTCTTCTCGTCACTTCCCGCCCGTCTTGTTCCAGGCCTTTCTCCTCTCACCTGGATTTCAGTAATTGCCTCCTCATGGGTACCTGGATTGACCCTTGCCTCCTCCTCACTAGCCTGTCCCCTACAGAAAAGAGAAGGAATCCATGTACAAAGTAAGTCAAGGCTTGGGGTGTGCTTGCTTAGCATAGAAGAGGTCCTGGGTTCCATCTCTAGCACCATAAAAACAAAAAAGGTAAGTCAAACCAGGTTAGCACTCTGCTCAGAACCCTCCAGAACCCTCCACCCCAGGGGCCAGTGAGATGGTTCCATGCGTAAAAGTATTGCTGCCAAGTCTGACAATCTGAGTTCAATCTCCAGATCCCAGGAGAGAACACACACAGACACACAGACACACGCACACAAAATAAAAATTTTAAATATAAAGTTGAGTGTGGTGGTATACCTCTTTAATTCCATCCAGCACTAGGGAGGTAGAAACAGGTGGGTCTCTGTGAGTTTGAGGCTAGCCTGGTCTACATAGCAAGTTCTCTGCCATCCAGGGCTACCTAGTAAAATCCTAACTAAAAAAAAATTTAATGGTATAGATGGCCTGAGAGATGTGCACAGTATCTCTGACCTCCCCGGGGCCCACCCAAGTCCAGGCCCACAGAGAGCTCCCAGGAACCTTGGCCCTGGCTCTTCCTCCCCCGAACCCTCTACTTCCAGACACCCTCACTTCCTATAATTCTTAGCTCAAAAGATCCATCCCTATGGAAACCCTCCTCCCCAACCCTTTTAAAACTGTGCACTGGGTGGGAGATGGAGGGATGGCTCAGCGGTTAAGAGTTCTTACTGATCTTGCGGAGAACCTGGGTTCAGTTCCCAGCACCTACATGGCAGTTAACAAGTGCCCGTAACTCCAATTCCAGAG